GGTCAGGCACCAAAAACCTTGTCCAGATGAGAGAAGCATCAGCCGCCTTTCTTGGCAAGGTCCAGCATCTGACCAGCCAACAGGTACTCGGCCACATTATCCCGTCGGTACTCTGAATTCGCAGGGCAGTCATAATGCTTATGCCAGCGCGTCCCTGGAGATTTGCATGCTAATATGGTGAAATCGCCCAACCAGCCTCACACAAACGCTGCTGAGACCAGAAGCCCCCAGCGAAGAGGCACTTGAGGAGGCCCTGGTGCCTCTGGGTCCACTCAGGGCCTAGAGCAGAGGAGAGCAAGAGGGACCTCAGGGGCTCCAGGAGGATAGGGAGCAGACAAATAGAGGCCCAAGACTTATGCCTAACTAAAACCTGTCGCCACAACCAGCGCTCCGTGGCCTCATCAGCCAACTTACAACCATCCCTAAGAGAAATCTGCTCCACAAAACGGACACGGGTCAGAAGTTTCCAGCCGAGACGGATCATCGTGCCCACAAGGGCCGACGCGGGCCCACGGATGTCCGACAAAACCCTGGGTTCAGGTAAAGCCGAAAGACTAGCCCAAGCCCCGCTCAGAAGGCGCATCGTGTTAGCCCTGGGTGCCCAGCCGTCCAAGAGAGCCAGGGGCGACAGGAAGATCGGACCGCGATTGAGGGAGGAGGGAGGAGAGAGGATGGAGGAGGGAGGAGGAGGAGGGAGGGTTGGGTTGGAGCAAGGTGGAGCGGCGAGCGCGCTTGGAGGCCCCGCCTCCGAAACCACCCTCGCGATGCCCACACATCCCAACGATGCGGCGACGGACGACGACGACGACGACGACGACGACGACGACGACGACGACGACGACGACGACGACGACGACGACGGCAGTGGCGGCGGCGGCGGCGGCGGCGCCTGGCACCGCGACCACCTCGCGGCGTGCGGGCGCTCCTCCGCCGGAGGCGGCGGAGCGGCGGCCCGCCGCGGGGGCGGCGGCCGCCGAGCGCCGGCGGTCGCCTCGGCGGCCTGCGGCCCGCCACTGCCGCCGCCGTCGCCCTCGTCGTCGTCGTCGTCGCCGTCGTGGTCGTCGTCGCCGTCGCCGTCGCCGTCGCCGTCGCCGTCGTCGTCGTCGTCGTCGTCGTCGTCGTCGTCGTCGTCGTCGTCGTCGTCGTCGTCGTCGTCGTCGTCGTCGTCGTCGTCGTCGTCGTCGTCGTCGTCGTCGTCGTCGTCGCGGCCAGGGCCGCCGTCGCCGCGGCCACTTCCTGGCACGCACCAGGACATACTAGTACTGCAGTGCGGGCGCGGCCGCAAGAAATCCAACCCTGAGAACACGTGCGCGAGGTGCACCTGAGGGGAAACCTGGAGCACCCTGAACGCAGCAGCTCCTTCAACGGCTGCGGGAAGTCACCGCGCGCGAGGAGGGAAGAAACCCAGGATACCCTGACGAAAAGCGGATGGCTTCCTGATGCGCGCCCCCACTGTATGTGCCTCCGTTGGAAGAGAAGGTCCAACCCGAACATATAGCACAAAGTCTTGTCAT